GCTTGGAGACCACTGACATAGAACATTGAATGCATAACACAACAACACATAAAGCAACCAACGTATTTTGGGGGCCAACACAGCTCTTTCATCATGAGCTTCAAATCATTATTAGGGATAAAAATGGAGTCACTGGGACAATTCACGGATGGGTCTGCACAAGAAACAAGATCTCGAACATTAGCAGCAGCAGTGCAGATCAACACTTCTAAGCCCTGATGAAGAGGAAGTATGTTCACCTCCAAAATGTTTTGACGGTTTCATGTGGTCATATTAAAAACTATCAAAGCAATTGGGATTTTTCACCATTTGGTCTGTTGCTCCTGTTGTGCTTTCACTGTCTTAGTTTTTTGTTGTGTTCTCTATGTAGTGAGATTCATCCTCTTTATTTGTCCTCATGACTATTTTCTCCAAGTGATGGCAGGAACAATTGAGTACTGTCCTTGATACTTTTTTTATTTGCACTAACATACAATTTTGAGGACAATATTTCGGGGAATGTCCCGTTGAAGGGGACATTCTCCAAAAGCTTGTCCTCAAAATTGTATGTTAGTGCAAATAAAAAAAGTATCACGGACAGTACTCAATTGTTCGTGTCGCAAATGCACTAATAGGGCTACAATCACCTCAAGCTCCAAGTGATGGGAAATTCAAGATTTACCACCAGAATAGAAAGTGATGGGAAAGCTTCTAAGTCGAAGACCTGTACCCGTGACATCTATCTATGAGGAGAAGATTTACTATCACATCATGCTGTATCTCCAGGACAGTAAACAAGGTTAACATCTTTTTCCTCAAGTGAAAGCGTATTTGCTTGATGGCTGGCCACTCAGGACCAAGTGCTGCATTCTTGAAGGAGGTCATATGCTTTCCCATACCCAGAAGGACCAGGAATTTATGATGTGGGAGTATGGTGAAGCTGAGTAACAGAGTGTTTATGGAAGGCTACCATTTCAGGAGAATCTTTCACCTTGCTCTGAACATTACAAAAGTCTATCTTTTGCTAATTCTCTTCCTTTTTTTAAATTGCAGAATAGCGAGGAATTGTTACATGCACTTTCAGGCTTTTTTTTTTTTTTTGCTTTGGCTTACCCACTAGCCAATATTAAGTTAACAATTTGCTTACATAGTGAGACTGAAACTAGCTGATATAACACTCTCTCATTCCTTAGAAACCACATATTTTTCAGTAAATAGAAACTCAACAGTTTCATTAAAGCTTAATAAATATCCTGCTTAGAAACATCTGCTAATATGAAATGTATGTTTCCCTTTACCATTAAAAGATAAAATAAAAATAGCTTTGTTATAATTTTTTACGTTTAATCCAGAGATTGTACTTTTTTCTACCACTAGATGTCCTCAATCTGATGGCCAGCATCATTCACCCCACTTCTTCTGTGTGGTCCATTTGGAAACCCGGACATTGCTCGAGGGCCCGGAGTCAGTAGGGGGCCCCATGAGATGCCCCTGGTACCTTTTTCATAGGATTTTTTGAGTTTGGGCAAGGACACAGGGGCCCCATGATTCCCTATTGTCCGAGGGCCCCATGAGTTGTCAGTCCGCCCCTGATCCTGGCAACAAAGTAACCTCTCTAACAGTACTGACAGATTGACCAATATAAGCAATACAATATTTTGCATAGAAAACTGATCAGAAAGATTCACGAAATATTCAGTATATCTGAGGAGAAGTAGGAAAAATGGTGAAAAAAATGAGCTAAACGCAATGTCAGCAGTTAGAACCTCTGAACATAAACTCTGAAGGACACAGGGGGCCCAGGATCCCCTATTGCCCAGGGGCCCCATGAGCTGTCAGTCCGCCCCTGGTGTGGTCTATAACTGGGCAGTGACTCCCCCTATCAGTATGCTTCTTGTTGGCACATGAACTGATTAGCTAATTGTGCTGCTTCTTCTTCTCACGCTCCAACCTAACCTCCGTAGAGGTCTGATTATGTCAGTATTTCTGTGCTCAAAGCGGTACATTGTTTTCAATGAAAATATGTTGTTTTTTTATTGTAGGCCTGTAATTCTTAAGGAAACTCATACAAATGAGCACAGAGAGGCCACTCCAGGTGGAAACGTGAACAGTTAATCATGAGCTCACCACTGCTGCCTTGTTAACCATTTGCATGATGAAGAGAACTGAAATAAATAGGAACTGTGGAAAATGCCCTCAGTCAAGCACCTTAATGAATGTGCATTTTTATTGGATGAGACAAAGTAGCAAATATAATAAAATTTGACCAGCCTGAAGTGATCAGCGTGACTCTAACAGATGGCCTGTCCGCATTGGAGGGAGCTGAGATTGGAGAACGCTCCTGTTGGTTTCAAATCACGTGTTGTCAGCGTACCGGCGTCCCGAGTGGCAAGCGAAGGCAGTGTCCGGCGTCGGCGTCGGCTTCAGCTGGGAGCGTATGTAGGGTTACCAAGACGACATGGCGAAAAACATTAGATACTAATATTCTTAAAAATGAGGATGACATAGTATCCAAAAAACTAGGAAAATTAGATAGAGATATTGAAGACTACAAGTTATGCCACATCTTTACATGGAACAGAAAACAAATTAAGACCAATATTCCTTCCCAAAAAAATCAAACAAACAAAAATGACTTCATAATTATTCAAAACCCCTTCCCCCTCCCCTTTCTATCCAACAAACACCCAGTACGACAAATCCAACACCATCATCACCCATTAAATCTACATCCATTAATTTATTAACTCAATATTCCGATACCATTGCTGTTCCCCTTCCTAACCTCCCCCCCCACCTTCCTAACAATGAAACAGCCTCCAGTACTAATGTCTCTAATCCCATCTCATCCATTAGTACAGACTTACCACTAAATAATTCTTTTTCAATTCCTACTCAAAACCGTTATTATCCCTTTATCTCAGGAGATAAATTCTTTCATCACAGAAAATTCTTACTTACTTCCCGACTACCATCAGAAAGCGATCCCAGCTCTCTTCCACAAGTTTTTTTAGAGACTTAAATTGGGGACTTTTAATGTCCCCAATGGGGACATTAAAAGAAAAAGAAAACTAGAAGAGGAAGACGTGGTGGAAAGAGACTCCAGGCTAAAAAAGAGAAAGAAACTAGACCCATCGAACACAATAGTACAGTAAAGATTTTTAATCTCTCCTCACACACACTATCCAATGATGAGCTATCCTTACTCCGGAAAGGACTCAGTTTCTCTCCTGCATCAGGCCCTAACAAATTTTACTTATTTCAAGACTTAAATCATTTTATCCGGTCTTTAACTATCAAAATACATTATTCTAATATCTCCCCATCTGACACTGATCCTCAAACTATTAGTATTGATTCTCAAACTATCAATACAGACTCTTCTTTTCAAGATGATGATAGAAATATTAGTCCAGATGCTAGAGGTTCTATGGATGGAAAGCCATCCTTCTAAAATGCAAACACCCACTATTTCCTTAGACCTAGATATCATTCACACCAATTTTAAATCCAAATCCAATTTTTGTCCAGTACAGTCCAAGGGACCATACATCGAGACCTTCTACCAGGCAGCCTATAAAGATCTTCTCAGCTTGTGCAATAATCCACCTACTAGTTACAACATGAGTAATTCCAAAGCACAAGCCTTAAAAAACTTAGAGAATAATAAAAACATTGTCATTAAGCAAGCTGATAAAGGAGGAAGTCTTGTTGTACAACACACCAGCGATTTTATATCAATGAGTTCATTCGTCTTCTTTCCGATATCGACACATATCAGCTACTAAAGGCAGATCCCTTACTAGAGTATCAAATAGCCCTCAAATTACTCATTGACAAAGCCTATAATGATAGTGTTATAAATAAGAGAGAAAAGTCTTTCCTCCTTCCTGCCATTTGTAGTACTCCATATTTTTATCTTTTGCCTAAAAAAATACACAAATCTACTACACATCCCCCTGGTCGCCCTATAATTGCAATTACAAATAATTTTACTAATGGCCTCTCCAAGTACATTGACTATTTCTTCCAACCACTAGTTGTACAATTGCCGTCCTACATCAGAGACTCCGGTCATGTGATAGAAATCCTCAGCCATTACCAGTGGAAATATGGGTATCATTGGGCGTCACTTGATGTAACTTCCTTATACATATCAATCCCCTACCACATAGGCCTACAGGCCCTTCACTATTTCTTATCCTCTGAAAGTTCTATTAACTCCACCCAAGCCAAACTTATTATTGAATGTACTGAATTTTGCCTTACCCATAATTATTTTACATTCCTTGACCAATTTTACTTGCAAACAAATGGGACTGCGATGGGAGCGAATTTCGCCCCTTGTTACACCAATCTCACAATGGGTTTTTGGGAGAAACAATATATACAAGTAAACAACCCTTTTGCCAAATATATCTTTTTTTTGGGCGTTTTATTGATGACATTTTATTAATCTGGAATGGTGATTTGAATGAATTTTTATCTTTTGTCGCATATTGCAATTCAAACTACCTTGGACTTTCTTTTACTCATGTTTTATCTCCCAAGATATAATCTTTTTAGACTTGGTTTTATCAGCCACAGATAATGAAATTTGCAGTACAAATCATTAGTGGGAACCCATATCTACACTATTCCAGTTGTCATCATCCAGCCTGGAAAAATAATATTCCCAGTGGCCAATTCCAAAGACTTAGGAAGAACTGTTCAAAATTATGTGACTACCAAGAACAAGGTTCTCTCCTTTCAAAAAAGTTTTCTGAGAAAGGCTATCCCCCTTCCCTTATTAAAAACGCATACACCAAACACAGCGTATTGAAAGCCCGAATACATACTCAGGCCCGTGGCCAGTCCAACTTGGTGAGGTTTATCACTGGTTTCAACACATCACATCATGACATTACGAGCATCATTCGCAAACACTGGCACTTACAATTAGATCCTAGACTAGCACCTATTCTCCCACACGCCCCACAAGTAACTTTCAAGAGAGCCCGTAATTTGAAAAAATATTCTAGCCTCAAGCAAAAGGTCACCATCCACCTACAAAGATAACGGCCCCCCTTCCTACATTTGACTACAGAACAGGTATCTATAGATGCAACAAAAGAGGCTGTCTCAACTGTCAGTCCATCACTCATGGCAGATCACAGGTGTTGGACTCCCAGGGCAACAGCTATCACATTCGTCAGTTTATTACGTGTGCAACTGACCTCATCATATACATCCTCACATGCCCGTGTAAGCTCCTATATGTAGGCCGAACCACACGCCCTCTACGCAAACGCATAGGGGAGCATAGAAGACTCATAAGAGACGGTTGCGATAAGCATAGTGTCCCCAGGCACTTTTTGCTCTCATCAAAAGAATTTCAGTCTTCTTGAGGTCTTAGCAATCGAACATATTCTAAAGGGTACATTTAGTGACTGTAACGGACATGTAAAATTTATTGTAACGGACATGTAAGATTTGAGTGGAAATATGGTATCATAGCCATGACAGGTTGAGAAGATTAGATTATGTCAGGCCCTTTCATTGCAAAGGTGTGTGCAGGAACAGTCTGGTCATTAAGGATGTACATTGAGCCCCCTGGGCAGTAGGGAAATGAATAGAAGGTACAAACAAATGATCTGGGGTCAGATGTGTATGTATACACAATTACTCCATAGGCCTTACAGACCCAATCATCATTTAGCATTAATTAGTCTAAAGCCATGTTCCTGGAGGTGACAACTTTTGTGTGTCAATCAGGTTATCACCTTCTGAGGAAAACCAGTGACAGCAGACAGACTGTCTGCCTTAAGTGGAAAGCTCTATAGGCAATATTCACATCAAAGAAGTATGTTTAATCACTTATAAAAGCCAAAATATTAGTTGGAGAGAGATGGAAAAGCTTCCTTTGTGCAGGCCATTCTGTGTGCTACATTTACATATAAGAATCATATTTGTGGCTTGGGGAGGAAGCCAGGGAAATGCATGGAATGATTAGATGACGCGGGGGTGCGACAGTCTGATGGTGTTTGGTACTGTTGCGATCGGGCTGATGCGCTGGTGTCAGAAATCCAATCCCCGACTTGGTGTTCAGGCCAGTCTCGGCCCAATTGAACTTGGGCAGGTCCATACACAGTACCTCTTGTGGGCAGGTCAGGACCACCTCCCCCAGAGTCAATTGGCCGAAGACTAATGTCCCGCCCATGTCCAAATCGCCATAAATTGAACGCACGGACATTTGGACAGGGTGATTCGTACGGAGCTGGTTCGATTGACTAGCGGATTGCCAAGTTTCTGGCTTGCTCCAGCCGCAGGGTAAAGTGTTATTCTGTCTTTTTATTCCCTTTTATTTTATAGTAATTAGTCATTTGTGTGTCTTCTTATATCTTTGTATTTGCTGTAACCTTTTATCTTTTGTACATATTTTATGCACTGCCCACTTTGGGAAATTAAATCTTAAAATTAATTAGTGAACTTCTGTGTACTTAAGCACGTGCTCATATCTTCGGAGAGACTAGATCAGAGAGACTAGATTGGAGAGATTAGATTGGGTTATATTGTATTGTATTTTAGTGCCTTTAAAACGCTTGGTTAAGCTCATTGCCAATCTGTATGCAACTGCACTGTGAGTGGGCAGATTGCACGCAGATTGCAAAGGTAACAGATCTGCCAGACGGAGATCTGTATGTGTGTGGTGTCTCAACAGACCATTCTGCGGATAAACTGTTGGGTGGTGGCAGGCTACCTTTATGGTGCGTCTGGTGTGGGGGGTGTGTGGACAGTGGAAGGGTTATCAACACCGGGGTTCAAGCTAGGATAGCTGAAGGGACCTTTAGAAGGGTGTGTGATTACTAAGCTGGTCCTCAACTCTAATCAGGGCACCAGGTTGTATGTAAGATCGTATCTGCCAGTGTGTGGTTGACCAGCTGGATTGGAGTGGAGTCTCCATCTGGTGGTGGCCAGAGGTAGTGCGGGCTGTGAAAAGGTATCACGGCTGATCTTATATACGGTTTGAGATATTTAAGTGTAAATCTCTTTATTATCCCCTCTTTACCACCCTGTCGCGGCCGCACGCGTGTGTCACGGTTAGCTAGTCGCTGTGGGCGTGGCGTGTGGTGGACACGTGACAGGGTGATCGTTTTAAGCGAATCCTTGACAGTGACAATGAAAGATTAGTCCGTCTATGTAAGAGATAGACGTTCTGGACCTACAAGTTAGGTTCTATGACCCCCAATGGTCTCAATGAGGATCTTGAAATCCATAGCATTATCTAACAAGAATGACCTATAGTCAGTGGTGTATTAAGGTTTTGTGCTGCCCTAGGCAACATAAAATTTGTCCCCTCCCTCAGAGAGAGCCTGACATTGACCAACAACACCCCTGCCTCCCCCCCACACTCAAGAGAGCCTTCCACTACCATCGCCCCCATACACCAGCCACTCCCCTCCCAGCGAGAGAGAGAAAGACACTCACCTTCACAGCTGTGGACATCCCCGGGGAATGAGAGTCAAGCAGCCTGCAGCCTCTCTCAGATCCCACCTGGTTCCCAAGCCGCATGTGTCTTTTCTTCTGTCCTTCCAGGGGAGCGGTGCTGCCCCCTGAAAAATACCACCCTAGGCAAATGCCTTGTGGTAAATTCGCCCCTGCCTATAGTCCCCGGAACTAGGATCCTCCTGTTTCATTTTGCTCAAGCATTATTTATGGTTATGTACTGATATTTCTTTCTATACATTGTCTTCTTTTACCACTTGTTTTTTAACTTTCACTGTTACCACGTATATATTGTGTTCACTCAATTATGAATACATGTTACTACGCATCTATTGCGTTTGCTTGATTACGAACATAGGAGCTACCTAATTTGATACCCATATTGATTTTATTATATTTCTTTTGGCAGTACCTTTTATACAGTCATTTTTATCTTCATATGCCAACCTTCCCCCCCCCCCTCTTCTTCGTCCATATACCCAAAATTACCTCACTAGAAACGCATTTTTTGACATAGCTTCCATGTACCAGCGATGTCATTTTTAACTTAGAGTTCTCCCACAAGAAAGTTTTTCCTTTATTATTTTATTGTTTTATTATTACATTAATTCTGCTAAAGATAAAAGTATATCATGGTTTTCCAATAGTGTCCTTATACATATCACTCCATTTATTGGCGCCACTTTCTATAATTTGCAATTTGTATTTTTAAATTTGTATTCAGCATTGCTTCCGGACTAGCCGTCCGCTCTGATTGACACCCCATCCCCTGCTAATTACACTCAGCCAGTCTTCCCTTTAATGGTCTTCTCTATAACCCGGTCAGGTTACCGGAGACTTGACAAAGCGAAACATGTCGTCTTGGTAACCCTACATATGCTCCCAGCTGAAGCTGATGCCGGACACTGCCTTGGCTTGCCGTGATGACGCCACCCGGGACGCCGGTACTCTGACACCACATGATTTGAATCCGACAGAAGCGTTCTCCGATGTCAGCTCCCTCCAGAGTGGACAGGCTGTCCGTTGGAGTCAAACTGTTCATTTCAGGCTGGTCAAATTTTATTATATTTGTTACTTTGTCTCACCCAATAAAAACACACCTTCATTAAGGTGGTTGACTGAGAGCATTTTCCACATTCTTTTTAGTTCTCTGTAATTCTTAGGAATAACTCACTGAAATCTGTCCGAACAAGAGTCTAGTAAACATCCCGGGATGATAAAACTTGAAACATGTAATCATAAATTATAATATAATAAATAATCATAAAAAGTAATAATATAATAATAAATTTAATTCAATAATATAATCAAACCAAAAACACTGAAATGTGAAATATAGCGCCAAGTTCGCACATCGCTGAGCAACGTCTCAAAATCGTTTTCAGTGTCTGATGACGAATTTCCCCCACGAATCATTACACAGGTCTGAAATAAAAAATTTTTCAAGAGCTGTTTTGGTTATTCCACATAATCTTTATGTTTTTTGGTGCGCTGAATCCGAAAATGACCTCCATTTTGTCATAGGACATCATGTTTCCTGACAATTTAGGTAACTATGTTAAATAAGGCAATACCTCAAAAAAAATGGAAATAGACTTAGAAAATTAAAGTTTTATTACAATTTTTTCATGAAAATCCTTTTTTGAACTGAAATGAGCTCACCTACACACACTAAACTCGATTCTTCTTCCCTGTGAGGCTCCTCTTGGTGCATTTCCGTTTGTGAATAGCATCTGGAATGTCCCTCTGAAGCATCCAACAGTAGTCTGCCATCATTGTAAAGCTCCATTTTCCCTGGTATCTCCTTTCCATCTCTTTAATGTCTTGGTGGAATCGTTCACCTTGTTCCTCACTCACAGCTCCCAAATTTTCAGGAAAGTAGTCAAGGTGGGACTAGAGGAAATACACTTTCAAACTCATCAGGCAACCTAAATACTTTCAGCATTCGTCCGATTATCTTTTTGTAGTGATGATGTTTGTTATTGCCTAAATATTTCTGTACGACTTCTTTAACCATTAGCCGCCCGGCCAATGGCCGTTTGGCGGCTTCAGAAGTGTATCTCCGTTCCGATTACACACCATTTGGCGTGCTCCCGCACATGCGCCATTTGCGCTAATGCAGAGCGGCGCAGCAGTGCGATCTGTCACCGGCCGTGCACCTCGGACACGGCCGATGACAGATCCGAGTACCGGCTCCCGTTGCTGGTACCATGTGACCTGCTGTGACCAATCACAGCAGGTCACATGACAGTTGTATACAATGGATGGCTTCATTCATGCCATCCATTGTATACTAGTGCCTAGCTGTGAATGGTCACAGCTAATCACATGCACATGTCATGTGATTAGCTGTGACCAAATTACAGCTAAGCACAAAAAGAAAAAAAAAAAAGCTGAATGAATCGATGTCATTCAGGTAAATGCTTGCTTATAGCAAAGTAATTCTTTGCTATAAGCAAATTGTGTAAAAAAAAAAAAAAAAAAAAATACTGATCACTTCCCCAAAGTAGTACAATGTTACTATGGTAACATTGTACTACTTTGGTCATAGTAAAATATGAAAAAAAAATCTTAAAAAAAATAAAAAAAATGTAATAAAAAATTAAATATAATAAAAAAATAAAAAAAAAATATATATTTTTTTTTCATACTGTCACCAGTCAGTGTCCCTGTTCACCGCCATGCCAGTTATATGATGACGCTGTACTGCACTGGTGACAGTATGTAAAAAAAAAATAGTGAAAATAATTTTTTAAATTTTTTTATTTTCCGAAAAATTATGACAAAAAAATACAACTTCAAAAAACTCGACATGCCTCTTATGAAGTACGACGGATTGTCTACTCTGCAAAAAGGGGTCATTTGGGGGATATCTGTACTGTTCTGACATTTGGGGGATATCTGTACTGTTCTGACATTTGGGGGATATCTGCACTGTCCTGACATTTGGGGGATATCTGTACTATTCTGACATTTGGGGGATATCTGTACTGTCCTGACATTTGGGGGATATCTGTACTATTCTGACATTCTTGGACCTCAAGAAATTAGATTGGCCGTCAGTACTTCAGGATTGATCAATTTTCAGATCTATACCATAGTTTGTGAACTCTATAACTTTCCTACAAATTAAAAAAAAATCCTGATTTGGGTTATTTTCACCAAAGACATGTAGCAGAATACATCTCGGCCTAAATTTATGAAGAACAATTATTTATTTGTAAACTTTTATAACAGAAACAAAGAAAAATGTGTTTTTTTTTTCAAAATTTTTGGTCTTTTTTTGTTAATTTAGCAAAAATAAAAACCTCAGCGGTGATTAAATACCACCAAAAGAAAGCTCTAGTTGTGTGAAGAAAATGATAAAATTTTAGTTTGGGTACAGTGTTGTATGACCGCGCAATTGTCATTCAAAGTGTGAGAGCGCTGAAACATGAAAAATGGCCTGGGCAGTAAGGTGTAAAATTGAACGGTATTGAAACAGTTAAATGCAATCCACCCTTCTTTTTGAGGATCCGTCATGGTATTGACAAACTCTTGTTTGCCTTCTAATGTCTGGTCCGACGAACACACTTTCCTTCAATTTTGCCTCCGACAGGCCTGGAAACTTGGTGACCAAGTATTTGAAGCATTCTCCATCTCTTGGAAGTGATTTTATGAATTGCTTCATCGATCCCAATTTTATGTGGAGAGGTGGTAGAAGTATCAAAGTTTCTCGGAGGACATTTTTTTCACCGACTGTTAGCACCCTCGGCTGCTAACTCTTCTTGGTCCAGTGATTTTGTCCCATAACCCATAATATAAAACCGATAATATAAAAAAAATACCAAAAATTTAATTTTTTTTTATAAATTTGAAGACAATTTTGCATTTTGTGGCAAATCATGATGTGTAGGAGTTTTTTCAATATTTTATTTGTTTTCAGCACACCAAAATACATGGAAATTAGATGAAAATAATCAAACAGCTTTTTAGTCGAAGACCTGAGTTATCATTCAATTCTGCAAATGGTTGTAACATCCCGGGTATGTTAAAATTTGAAACACAAAATCATAAATTATAATTTAATCATAAAAAATAATAATATAATAATTCAATTTAATTCAATAATATAATCAAACCAAAAACACTGAAATGGAAATATAGCGCCAAGTTCGCACATCGCTGAGCAAAGTCGCAGAATCGTTTTCAGTCTCTGATGAGGAATTTCCCCCACGAATCATTATCACTCAATTCTGCAAGTGGTTCTGATTTACTATCGCTGTTCTCTAGCCGGTCTAAAACCGCGTCTGACCTAAAGGGACGCTTTTTGGACGCCATGGACGTTTCTCAGTTTCCAGGCAGAAAGAACAGTAAAAATGCAGGCAGGGCACCGGACAAAGCACTCGGGACAAAATGTATGTGAAATGGTTGATACAGGAATGTTATACTATCAATTTTAGTGTATTTTTTCATTTTTGAAATTCCCGCTGGTTCCGTCTCCCATACGTTCTGTACGTACCGACGCTCACAGGAACGGAACGAGGAAGATGAATACCAGCATCGGCTGGAGGACATTGCCGGGGACGCTGCAGGGGGGACATCGCGGGAGCGTAGGACAAAGTAAGTGCTGGAGGGATCCCGGAGCAACGCTGCAGTGTATTCCTGAGTGTAGCTCGGGGTTACCACTTGTGGTGCTGAAAGTTAACCCCGAGCTACACTCGGGAATACCGCCAGGGGGGTTAAAGAGGTGAATACCAAGTCAAATGTAGGTACTTTTACCATTTGCTTTTCAAAAAATATA